TAAAGATCTATTGTAACTTAATGATTATTATTTAATACGAGCGCTGAAGAAATAAAACGCTATAAAATAATAAGAAAATTAATAAAAAGCAGCATTATTATAATAAACAAATTATAACATGCTTCTTCATATAATTTATATTAAATTAAAATATAAAATGTTTTATTTTTTTTAAAGATTATTTTTAAAGATAAAATATATTTCTTTTATTTTTAATGATTATTTTTAAAGATGAAATCTTTTATTTTTAAATATTTTGATTATCTACAGTACTTGACTGTATCAATTATACTGTCTGAGAATTATATAACTCGATGATTACGAACCAGCTTTAGCGTCCGTATTAAATAATAAAATTACCTCACCTAATCGCAATTACAAGGAAACGCAAAACAACAAAACGTATAAATCGCGCACTAATCTCACGTTACGTGCGAGAACTGTTGCACCTGCTCAATGATATTCGCGAGAAAGGTACAAGGTAAGCAAAACGGTTTTTCTCATGAATCATCGCGAGCCTCCCCATATTTTCGAGCAACGGTGTAAATATATAACGCGCATAAGCATACCTCTTTCTCCCTCCTCCTCATTTTTTCTCTCGTATCCGTCACGCGCCGCGTAATGCAACGCAGCCATGAGAGCGCATACACGCATGTATACGCAATAAACGTAACACAACGTAGATTAAATGCCACCCTCGCATCACGCCGGCGCAACCTGCGGAACTCGAACATTACCGAGCAATGCGGTTGTAGTAGGTTGCGTGCGCCAGGTCTGAGTATTGTGCGCAGACCCACGTACGTATGTGTGCGTACCGTTTTGCGCATATATCGGACACGTAAATGCACATACGCGATGCGCTCCGGACATCGCCGGAGCGTGCATCTCCGCAACGTTTCTCTCGCGATTCAGCGCGTTGGAGTCGCGTAGCTCGCCCTTTCTCTCACTCCCGCGAGGGGCTCGTGTACGTGCGTACACGGGCAAACCTGTTGTTACCACTCCTCCCCCGGTATTATCTCTCTCACGCATCGGGCGCCGATTTTTATAAGCGAAGTGATTCACGAGGCAAGTTCATCAAGTCTCTCCCCCTCTGCCACCTCTTCGTAGGTACACGGTACGCTTTCACGAAGATTAGAGAGGACGGAAGAGAAGGAGAGGGAAAGCTCTCTTTTATTTCCGTCTATATTCTTGGACTACACTTGGACTATCAATGGCGTAAGCGAAGGGCGCTCGCGCGATTTCGAGCCTCTCTTCTCCGCGCCAAACGCAAATTGCATCTCGTGGAACCAAGCGAGAGAGCTGGCCTCGCCACAAGAAGGACATACTTTAGGTGCATTACACTCCATTCATGCGCGCACTGAACGTTATAACTGTATGTTTGAATTCAACTCGAAGGATCCAACAGCTTTAAATTACTCTGGTACTCTTGTACGTTGCTCGATAAAGAGAAGAGGAAAAAAAGAGAAGAGAAAGAAAAATACTTGATGTTCGAGACTCTACACAGAAAAAAAGGACGTTTTTGTTTTGAAAATATTTTTAGTTTTAACATGGAAATCTTGAAATGCGATTATATTGCGTTAATTAAAGAAAAATGTAATTGCTTACTTGAATGAAGCCATTTTATATAGTTCGATCAAGAAAAATATATTCTTACGATTTAAGATTTAATTTTCTTGAATGGAAAAGAAACAATGTTAGATAGAAATAACACTTTTAAATCAAAGATTATTTTCTTTACTTTAAGATAATTTTCTTAAAGTAGAAAAATATATTCTTATGATTTAAGATTTAATTTTCTTGAATGGAAAAGAAATAATGTTGGATAGAAAATAACATTTTTAAATCAAAGATTATTTTCTTTACTTTAAGATAATTTTCTTAAAGTAGAAAAATATATTCTTATGATTTAAGATTTAATTTTCTTGAATGGAAAAGAAATAATGTTGGATAGAAAATAACATTTTTAAATCAAAGATTATTTTCTTTACTTTAAGATAATTTTCTTAAAGTAGAAAAATATATTCTTATGATTTAAGATTTAATTTTCTTGAATGGAAAAGAAATAATGTTGGATAGAAAATAACATTTTTAAATCAAAGATTATTTTCTTTACTTTAAGATAATTTTCTTAAAGTAGAATTAAATAATTATATATTCTTGAGGTGACAATTACAATATTAAAATAAGACTATAATATTGTTGAAATTTAAAATTATTGAATCCTTCTAAGAAGATTATCAATTGTTGCGTATATACGAAACAATAAACGCGTTAGTTTAAGTATATATAAGTTTTCATTTGATACTTATTTTTACGTACTTATTTTTTTTCTGTGCACATATGATATATGGAAGATTAAACGAACAGGAGAGATTTAAACTACAATTGAACCTTAACTTAACATCTATTATCTAAAATTATTGTCGAATATTACGACTGTTTTAAGGTTCGTCAAGTGCAATATTGTGTAAACATTGCTGTACAAAACGCATGATTATCGCAAGAATGTAGATAAATACGCGTGATTAACAACCGCTACTTTCGCTCTCACGCGGTACAATCGAAATTTATGGACCGTATCTTCCTAAAACATGTCTTATAATCTTCACGCGCTCTGCCTGTTCTCTCTGATCACGCTGTTGCCTGATGTGCATCTCTTGTTGAGTTTTCTATCTAGCTTCGCCATAAGCGCGCGTATATATTCCATGATTCGAAGACTTTGCTGTGCGAATACGTTGGGACGGAAAGTCAAGAAGAGAGAGAGAGAGAGATAGAAAGAGAAAAAGAAAGAAACCGAGGGAAAGACGAAAAGACAGAGAAGTTGCTTCGTTATCTTTGCGCTTAAATCGAATACGGATGAAATTCCGAGACTCATACAAATGGACGACACCGTAGAAATGTCCGCAGCTTCCTGCACTGCCGTTGTTAGCGTTCCGATCAGCGAGGGCGATCAGCTGTTATGCGACCATCCCACCTACACATCCGTGCGCGCGACAACGGCAAGATTCTGTCGCTAACATGATCCAACTACCACCACGCAAATAGCCGTGTAAAAGGTAATCAGGACAGTTCTCCTTTAGAAGATTAGTGCCGACGAGCATTATGCTTCTTACGATCTTGATACGTTATTCCAGCTACAGTGTGGCAATACTGATGATATCATTTGTCCTCGTGTCGTCGGAGCGCGAAATGTAATTTTACAAGCAACTCGTGAGGAAGTTAATGTGCAAAGATCATATTAAGGATATAAAGTGACGAGTAAAAATAATAGCGTACAAGAAAAAGAGCAATTTTATAGGCATCTATTTATACATAATTCTAATTTTCTTCTTTACGCATTTTTATATTGTTATTATATGATTAATTACTTTATTAAATTATATTTCTTTTAATTATATTGATATTAATTATTTTATTAGCAACTGTTGTTAATTTTTGAATCATTTCTTTGATGACAATTTTATACTAAACACTATTTTCTAACGCTTGATGAATAATGCAAATTCAATTTGACAAATATTGTAGCGATTGTGCACACACAGCTCAGATGTATAATGTGATAAATAGTTGAAGCAATCTTTTATGGTTATCGTAAAAATAAGATGTAACACCTCGTGATTGTAACTGTGCGAAAACATGGACGAAACTGTTTCGTAATGTTTACGATGACACGAGGCGGTTCGTTCGAATCGAAAAATGGGTTTCTTTTTAATGAGATAATATATATGCGTAGCGTTACATGACCAAAGTAGAATTTGAGACTTGAGCATTGTCATAAAAAATCGAGTCTTGAGAAGCAACGATAAAAATAAAATTATTAAGAGATTCGCGAGAGAGAAAGAGAATATCTATCTTTTTCGTATAAATACATATTTATAAAATAATACTTTTATATATTTATATAATTATTAAAGTAATTCGTGCAAAAAACTCGGTAAAGGAAAAAATTATGAAAAAATGAGAAGATTTAGATATTTAAAATCTTTTTTTAAACGCATTAAATTTTAAATAACCCGTTTTTCAAAATTTAGAGCATTATATATATTTTTTAAATTTAGAGTAGTATATATTTTTTTAATAAATACGTTAGCGCATTTTAACACAATTGCGTTAATAATAAGATTTTAATAATAAAATTTTCATATTTTTACCATGAGAAAACAATTAATTTTTTAATTTACATGTATTATATTTCACTTGCATAAATTTTTAAAAAATAAGCAAACCTTTTTTTCTTTTTTTTCTTTTTTTTTTGCAAGATAATATACTAAGTAAGAATCATAATGAAATTAATGCATTATTCTGCGGTATCGTCCCTAAGTTGGCCGTATCCTGATCGAAATCACTAGTCGAATTTATGAAGCATCCCACCCATCTTAATAGGTATTTCTCCAACAGCGGAACAACAGAAGCAACGGCAGCAACGGAGAGCCCACGATCGCCGCGTAATTCACGCGGGGGAAAACGTGCGGCGATTCGATCGCATTCGGCGGGCATTAAAGCGAAAGGCGAACGAAATAAAAAGTCTCGGAGTCGAGAGAACGCACGAGTGGAAAGAATAAGGGCGCCGTAAGCCCTCCGGTAGCGTATAAACGTAGCCGAGCGGGGGTCCGTGGCTGGGCGTTCTTTGAGATGGTCGATCGCTTCGCGGCGCGGAATCAATATTGTTGGATTGCTTCGATAACGCCTCGTAAATATAATAAAGCCCTCCAATCCCTCCCCGATGCCCTTGCCCCACGTATTTCCCTCGCGCAAGACAGAACTGCCTAAGAGATAATGGTCGAAGCCCTGGGCACCCGGTGAGTCGATTGGAGGGGGCCGCGATGGTAGGGCCCCAACCCCTCTTCACCCTCGTCTCGCTCTACCACATCGTTTTCGCTTTTTCTCCTTCTCTCTCCCTCCCACTCTGTTTTCCTCCCTCTCCGTCTGCCTCGTGATCCCTCACCACGATGCGGCGCGGCAGCAGACCTGCCGGGCACCAGAAGAGCCGACTCAGTGAGTTTCAGTCCGAGCCGGCGAGCGCTTGGCTCTCTGTCTCTTTTTCTCTCGGCGCGATCGCCCATATCATCGGTTCTCCGACGGCATCCGTGACGGTCCCCGAACACCTCCGGGGGCTGGTGTGATCCCCACCTTTTTTCCTAGACGATAAGTTTCCGATAACGAGGCCGAGTCATCTATCATCATCGCCAGGGAGGGTGGCGACTTTTCGCAGAGTCGAATGCGCGTTTCGCGATATTCGCAAAACATCTCGTAATCGCAAAGTCATCGATCAACCGTGGATGATTAAGATCGACGAAAGAGCGAAGATCCGACCCAAGGGCAAGTAATATTCCGACTGGGACTGTCATCTTCCGCTTCGAAGGCGCCCGGAGACTTCGACGACCGATACGAAGGATGTCACGCTTCGCGGACCACCCTGGCTGCCGCGGCCGACGCCGTGTCGCGGTGGCTGCGATCCTGCCGGCGATCTTGCGGTGAATGTATACGTGTTTCCTCCCCTTCCTATATGCTGCATATGCATCGAGATAACGTGCGACGAGATAGTGTGACTCTCGGCGAGTATCATTGGTGAGTCAATGAAGCTCCAAGGGAAACGACGCTGATCATAGCGAAGTTTATTAAATTATTATAATCAGCCGATGTGGTCTCCAGCGAGATTGACCGGTTTCCTCGAGTGATGATTTCTCCGTGGAAGAGAGAAGCCGGTGTTGTTGTCATCGAGTCGATTGGTGGACGTGCGACTTATCCGAAGAGGAATACCGCGTTAAGGACGAGCGCGGAGCGCGAGTGACAGTACGCGTTTAGTGTGCGTTTCTTCTTTGTCTATGTTTTCGCCCATGGAAAATTGTGCCAATCAGGAATTAATGTACGCCGGAAATTGCAGCATGGAGGACGTAAGCGTAAGTATTACATGCTGTCCCGCGAAAGCGGAAATTTCAAGTTTTTTGCGCTCTTCAAGAGCCATCCACCGTGAAAATTAATTGCATAATTCCTACGGAAATTATTCGAGTGACATTTCGCTCATAATTAAATTTTATGATTCTTATTGCGTAAATGAGCAACAAATCGAGAAACTGCTCGTTCTCTTTGTCTTTAGATTTACATTTATTTGTTTATCGTGTTTAATATGAAATATATGTGGAAGTATATATTTTTCGTTTTTTATCATCGTTTCGAAATACTGTAATTCTATTGTCTTTCTTATATAGTCATGAAGCGGTTTCAATGGATAAAGGTTAATTAAATTTTGATTTAATCAATCTCTACACAAAACAATTCATAGGTAGAAAAAAATAATATATGTAATTACCCCAAATATTTCAATATCGGTCTATCGTTTACCGCTTCTCTGCCGAGAGCGGTGTGTCATACAAGTTGCATCCAAGAAACAAGTTCGTCTACTCAAAAGTAGTCCGGGATGGATCACCGCGGATGACAGCCAGCTTGTATTAAGAAGGCAGCGACAGACAAATTTTCGCTGACGAGACGCAAAAAACGACCTTGTTTCTTGGTGGGACCGGGATGAAACCGGGGATGGAATCGGTCGCTCGTTACACCCTCTCTCCCTCGCCTTCCCCTTTCCCCGCCGCACCCTCCTTCGGTCGATTAGTCTCGGGGGACGCGGTGGTTCGCGAAGCCGGGGTCGCCGAGATATCGCACACGTGCACCCAGCACACGCGAGAAACGAGACGGTGGGCTTATTATTAGTTGGCCATTGGTCGACTCTCACGCGTCCACCATCGCGCGGGACAATGCGCCGGGGATTGCTTATTGTTGTTTATATTTACGCGTCGCGGCATAAATCTTCGTTTAAGTCGCATTCAGCCGCCATGCGCTGAGAGAGCGATGCGCGCGCGAGCGCAAACACACACGCATGCAAACGCACACATTCGCACACTGGTCGCTTGCGAACGGAACGCGCGCATGGTTCGTCACGGATAACGCGCGGTCTTCATTAAACTTAACTTCTTTGCGTGCCGACCGGCCATTAAGGACGGAGGACCGGCCTACGACTAATTTGTACTGTAAATGAGATCTCGAGGATCGTTACCCGCGTGAAACAACGTCATTCTAACGGTCGGAACGCCGCTGCTACGTAATTATCGCTTTCGGCTGACGAATGGGAAAATGGATAATGCTACTTGACATTTGTTTCCATCGTCGATTCTCTCTCGCGACTGCGTCTTTGTAATATGCAGATAGGAAATAATTGATGAAATTATATCATCAGATAAATTATATTATATTTACATTATATATTAATAATTACATTATAATGTAATTATAATTGTAATTATAATATAATTAGAATATAATTATAGTATAATTATAATTATGATATAATATAACATTATATATATACTATAATATATAACTATAATATGACAATTTAACATTATAATATAAATATTATATATTAATAAAATTATATTATTATTGTCAAATTATATTTTCAAATTGCTTGAAATTTGAACATATAATTTGATAATATAATTCTTGATAATATTACAAGAATATATACTGCGATCATTTTTTGAAATATTTAAATATTTACAAAAAATTAACAATATATTGCATTCACGTGTGAAATAAATTTTTCAATCGGAAGCTAATATATTTATAACACAAGGGGAATTATTTAACACACGAAGCATTTCGGCATGATTGTTTCCGGTAAAAAATCTCATAATTTTTTTGCGTATTTATAAGGAAATGCAGTCGGCAATTTAATAGACAGAACAGCTCGATAATGATTTAAAGATATGGTGAATAACAACTATTGGTTTAACGGATAACTCATCCAGCCCACGCGAAATGCTTCCCATGCTGTCATTAGATTTGCAAGAACTGTTGATAATTTATCGCATCGTAGGAAATGAGTGAAGTTAACGGCACCGGACAATGCTTAATAATTTAAACGAGCATAGTTTAGTGCTAACCATACACTATTCATGCACACGTCCATTTTATTATCAATATTATAGTACAGTATATTATATCCGGCATATTAATAAGAGGCAGTCACATTCTCGAGACAATGGCCTTTCGTATCTTCGTACAGCAGAATAATGCTCCCAAAGATTAAGACATTATTCGCAAGATATACTTATACACGGCGAGGCATTCCGTGCATGGTAATACGCTGCTTTTGGTATTGTCCTATGCGTTCGCGAAAGCGAGACGGCTTGTGTGCGTGCGTATGTGTGTGTGATGACTACCTTTAGATCGCATCGAAGCAATTTTCACCGGCTAAACTGATCTACCTGCTTATATGATCGCGCCGCGATCAAGACCGTCCATCCGCGAGCATTTATATCGGCGAGGCGGCCAACAAGCACGAGGCGTACGTATAATATTTTGCCTAGGCACGAGAAATATACAACTGTCGGTAAATTATGGCCATTAAATTATGGAATATAGCGGCGAGCGCGTTTTGCGAGAATTATTTTGCCATGTAAAGGGAAATTTATTCCCGCTTCCTCTTCCCCCGCGCGGACATTAATTCTTCATTTGAAAAGTGCGAGCCCCTCGAAATCACGCTGTACAGCGTCAGCGGAAATAAATGTGTCGATTTTCAATAGTTGCGATTAATCCATGCTGTTGGAGATACTTTGATATTTTATAATTATTATTTTTAATTAAAAAATTCGCGTTACTGAGGGAAGATGGATGACCATGATTACTTTATTAAAAGTTTGTGGAATACCAAGTTGGGAATCTAACATAAATGTCTCCCTCTAATGATATATATCGATTATAAATTATTTTAATATCAATGCGATCTTGCGTGCACACATGTAATCGTGTGAAAGATTTTAATAAAGCAGAGCACGATGTATGAAAATTCTTTGGTGTAACTACTTTTCTTCAGGGTGACGTAATAATTTATAATAAGCATGTTCGTGGAATCCTGCTGATGCTATTAAATTTAAAGTTAAAGGATATGGTTATTAATTTATCGCTAAATGAATTAACGACAGATGCGTTGTCAGAGGTCAGCATATTTGACCAGATCCATCAACGCTATGCCTTAAACAGTTAGACGATTGCTTCAACCGGTTACTCGCCACGTAATCTATCCGCTCTTCCTGAAGAAAATTGTGGCGTATCGTGTGTCTTCGATTACCTCTCTGCCGCCTGTACAAACACTTGAGAAGTGTACATACATGAATATATATCTATGACGATGCCCGAGGATGTGAAGAGTGTGGAAAATCTGATGCAAATATCGAGCTCAGCAAAATGTCTTAAATTTTTCCTACTTTTTAAGATTGATAAAATTTTATTATTTTTTTTTTCTAAAATTACATGCACACATATGAGCGAACAATCTTGATTATGATATTTAAGAAGCAAAAAACGAGATAGAAGAAAATAAAAATATTTACGTAAAATAAAAGAAATTTTTTTTAAATTATGGCATTTGATATAATAAATATTAGTGAGCCAAGAGGTTAAAATTTATATGTTATTAAAACATACACACATATGTATAGATTCTGATTCGAAAGATCGCTTTTTAATGCCCCTCACCCCATTCTTTCACGGTTACACTTAGATCTTTTTTTTCCGTCCCTCTTCCTTTTTCTATCCTCTTTACCTCCGTGTCTCGGCACATTCGGAATTCAGATAGGGTGGGAGAAAGAGGCCTTTCACGATTATCAAAGGGGAGGAGCTGGTGGCGCGAGGGAACAGCGTCAGCGGCCTTCGCGTCAGATAAATCTACGTCGCGATCTGCGTTCAAGAACGTCGTTATCTGCCTATGTATATGCGCGTGCACCTGCAGGCCTCGCATGTGCGTGCAGACCGTACAGGAGCGGCGGGCTATCGTCCATCGCGACCAAGGTTTCCGAGGGCGCGTCGGACTTAACGACGAGAAGAGGCGCATGGACCAGCTGTTACCGATATTACCCCGGCATTATTTTTCACGTCTAGACGGACTAGAGGGTTGAGAAATTATGGCGACATTTATAATTCGAGCCGATTTCATTGATGGTTGGCTGCGGAGAAAAGGTAGCATCCCGCGGTCGAAATTAATTGGCTCGCGTTCAAACGTCAAATGCACATGTATGGCAAGTGCGGAAGTAACAATGCGCGACTTATAATTTAGCAATTATTAGAAATTGTCGAGAGAATTGATGCGAGATTGACATGAAAGGATTATTGTATCGATATGAATTATGTAAAAGGGAAAGTAGAAAAATGTTTTAATGTAAGAATATCGTATAACTTGACGCTTTTGTCGTGCGAGACTAACTTTCATAAATTATTTATTAGAGCACACGTAATCGATGCACTTGTGCGCCCGCAAAACTCGTTGCTGTCGGTTTACCTACTCCCGTCATTCGATTCGACTACCGTAAGAACCGGATTTCTGCACGAGTGTCGTGAAATATGTACATATGTATGCCGACGGGGTGACTTTTGCATCGAATTGAGAAACGAGAAATCGGCGAGAGCCGAGAAGCCAAGCGTATCAACCGTTTCTCGCAGCCGATCACAAGGGGCGAATGCACGAATCATCTGCTTATCTAATGGCGGTCGGAGCTACGCGAGTACGCGTTCAATTATGCGTATCGCATCTCATTAAAATGGTCGCAATAAATTGCAAAGAAAATCGACCTCACATTAAAATAATCGTGTTCGGATTTTATGCCTCAAAAATGAAAGAACCTGAAAGCTTCCTGTGCAAATTATTTTGGACAAAAATAAAGAAGAAAACCGCAAGGGATACGCTTCCACACAGAAAAAAATAAGTGTTAAATCAAAACTTATATATACTTAAACAAACGCGTTTATTGTTTCGTATATACGCAACAATTTATAATCTTCTTAAAAGAATTTAATAATTTTAAATTTCAGCAATATTATTTCAACAATATAGTCTTATTTTAATATT